ACCTGAATGTGCGGCCACTTTAGTCCACTTAACACTCTTCACGAGAGCGCACGCCTTCTCCAGTTCTATGAAGTCGTCTTTATTGATCACATCCTCGCCGTTGGTGTCCTTCCAGCCGTTGTGGCGCCACTTATGGATCCAATTGGTCATCGCATTGACCACGAAATCGCTGTCCATTATAATCTCCACCCAATATTCATCCCATTTGCGGGCTGTTTGTAGGGCCCGAACGGCGGCCCATATCTCGGCCCGATTGTTGGTCTGTCGTCCGGGCAATGGTTCGCTGAAATCGTATTCGGGATGAGTGGGGAAATGGACACCAATACCGACGATGGCTGCGGCGGTTCCGTTGCCCCGACACGCGCTGTCCGTATAGGCCTGAATCCATGGCCCCCACCAGTCGGTCGCCGTTTGGAAGCCATTGTTGAGATCAAAGAAGGAATGGCTGGCTTTGAAACGGATGGGAACGCTATTCACGTAATGGACGGCCTCTTCATATGTGTTGAAACTCTTGCACTGAGAGGACGGGTGTTTGATTTGACTCATAGCTGCCTCTCGAGTGCTATAGACTCCCGTCTGTCGTCCAATCCTTACGCCATAAAATTTGTCCATTTTTTCGGCACTTGTTTTTTGGTCACCAAATAGTGGTTAAGCTTTGAATGCAATCCAAACGCTATGTCTTTTACACGCTTTGTGTGGCAAACCTTGTGTTTAATTCACAGTTGAAAGTTTTGACTTGAAACTAAAATATTGCACTTATAGGTTAGGGGCACTATACAGGTTAATATAAATGTCATGAATATAATAAAGGGTTGACTTATTTTTTAGAACTTTTTGAATTAATCATAAATGATAGAAAATAACGGTTTAAATATAGTGCTAACATAGTATATGTTTTATATACATCACACATAATAGCATTTTAATTAAGCTAATCGTCTCTTTTGAAGCACTTTTACAGAACCTATTATTTAATGGTATATCAAATGCAATCAGTTTTACCATTCAAGTGTATGAATTCAAAACCTTAGGTTAATATTTGTTACATTATATCATATTTGTATTACAAATACATAATATGAATAATAATTTGTTCTAGAATATATTCCGGAAGAATGTATTGGTTGTGAACAAATCAAATGTGTTAATGGATTTTATCGCATTACACTAGGTACATTTATGTAATTACTATAACATCCTATCATAGCAATGCAAATGTCATTTGAATTGAAAAATACACATAAGTTATTGTTTAAAAAGTTTTAATTATATTCATTCAATAGAAGGCGATATTTAATACAAAATAATTTATAGTACTATTTAATTCAATATTTAATTGTATTACAGATTATAAATGTGTTAATAATTTTTGGCAGCAATTAATTTAATTACTAAAACGTTATATTAATTTCAATAATTAGTTGATAAAAAGATTGTGTTTAAAGTAATTTAGATATATATCGCCGATTATATAATCCCTAATATCCTTTGAGCTGATCATCGATGGCCTTATTGGCCAACCAGTCGGCCATCACATTACCGGGAATTTTTGAATGTGCGGGCACTTTAGTCCACACAATACTCTTCATGAGAGCGCACGCGTCCTCCAGTTCCTGGAAGTCGTCTTTGTTGACGACAGGTTCGCCGTTAGGTTTGATCCAATTCTTTTGGCGCCAATCGTGGATCCATTTGTTCATCCCATTTACCACTAATTTGCTATCTGAGAAGATTTCGACCCGATATTTACACAAATCATGGGCTGTTTCGAGTGCCCGAATGGCCGCCTGTATCTCCGCCCGATTGTTGGTCTGTCGTCCGGGCAATAGTTCGCTGAAATCGCATTCGGGACGAGTGGGGAAATGGACACCAATGCCGGCGATAGGCTTAGCGGCTCCGTTGCGACGACACGCGCCGTCCGTATAGATCTGAAACACGTGGCCGTCATCGCAGGTGTGGACCACTGATTCCCCGTCGTTGGGGTCAAAGACTGCTACACAGCAATACCGACATCGGGGGCCGCACTTCACGTAATCGTCCGCCTCTTCATATGTGTTGCAACTCTTGAATTGAGCCGACGGGTGATGTATGATGTGTCTCATCGCCACTTTCATATTGGTGTAAACTCCCGGACAGCATCCAATCCTTACGCCATAATATGTAACCATTTTGTCAGCACTTTTTTTGAACAAATTTGAACAACTTTTTTGGTCACAAAATAGTGGTTATCATAAGCTTTGAATGCAAACCAAACCAAACGCTATATGTTTTGCACACGTTTTTATGTTGCAAACCGTTTTGTTTGACTCACAGTTGAAACTAAAATATTGCTCTAAAAAAGGTCGACACGAATGTCATGTGTATAGCGACTTATATTAAACTTGTACTTTGAACTTTGTCAAAAATACTACAGTAGCAATAAATGACCATAAACCCATAAATCCTTTTTGCCCAGATGTTTTTCATATGAACACTGGAACTTAATACTGCAATCAATGATTTGGGCCAACATTTATTTTAAACTAGCTATATTTTAAGATTAATAATTTTGAATTCATTATAAATGAGAGAAAATACAATATAACATGTATGTTTTTATAGATTTCACAATTATAACAGAATTTTAATTAAGCCAATCGTATCTTTTGAAGCACTTTTACAAAACCTATTATTTAATGGTATATCAAATTCAATAAGTTTTATCACTCGTGTGTTCAAATGAATTCAAAACATTAGGTTAATATTTGTGACATTATATCATATTTGTATATGAATAGTATTTTTACCAAGAATACGATTTATACTGAATACGATTTCAAAGATAATATACAGTTAATGTTGCCATAAATACCACGATATATAAGAATATTATTTAAATTATTTGAAAGCATTTGTATTCATTTGGGGCTACAATTGGTTGTAAGCGATGTTTAAATGTATTTATTTGCACATAAAAACACACATTATGTTAAGCCAACAAAAACTGTACTTAATGTTCACTTTGTATTGTAAACTATAGAACCGTTTGACACCATCTCATGGATAATGATTTTGCTGATCAGTATTCAAGTGTCGGCTTTCGCTATATTCCTGTTTGAATGGTTGAGTCCATCGGGTTATGACATGAGTCTCGTCCCACCAAAAGGTAATCCCATTCCCAACCATTTAGTCCATCGATTCTTGTATTCAGACTATTGTCTGTCTCTTTCAGACCATAAATTCTCACTCTTCCGGACCTATTGGTTGGTTTGGGCCATACTTTTCGGGGCCGCCGTTCACGTGGACTGTCCTAAAGGATATACAGCCAGGTCTGAGGCCTTTGACATTATTTTACCGACGATTCTGTGTTTGTTTAAGTATTTTTAGAATAAAATTATAATTATGTATGTTTTTTCGTGTTTAAGAAATTGTCAAAACATACAAAAAAGATTAGTGTATTGTTTGCATTGATATAAGAATCCAGTGTTTGTTTTGCGAAATTATTATTTGCACAAAACATAAGCGCAAGAATATTCTGTATATAAATTATATTCTATATATACAGTATATTACACATAATTATTAATTTTTTATACAAATACTTTAATTAAATTCGTAACGATTTTTGCGCATAATATTCAACAAAAAATTGTTGCACAGATTTATGGCCAACACTTGGGCCACATTTGCGGTCGTCTTTCTGGCCATATATACGGCTAATTTGGCGGCGTTTATGATAACACGCGAAGAATACCACGATTTCAGTGGTCTGGAGGACCGGAAGCTGCAGAACCCGCGCAATCACGACCCGCCCCTCAGGTTCGGTACACTCCCGTACGGGAACACCGAAGCGGTGCTGAAGCGAAACAAGCCTAATATGCACGCATATATGGCACCATTCAATAAGTCGTCGGTAATCAATGGTGTGGCCGCTGTCAAGAGGGGGTAATCATTAGCACAACTGTCGCCAACTAATGAGACAGTGATTTTAGTGATGCTTTTTGTTTGATGCCTAATGTGGTGTTTCGTATTACACAGAGAACTGGACGCTTTCATCTACGATGCCGTGCCATTGGATTATTTAGTCGGGTTAATACACATCTTACTCTGTATATGTGTTTCTCTCCCCCTCCCATAACTACCATTGCCATCAATTACCTGATATATAGCACATAACCAACTATTTAAGCGCTACTTTTGCAGACATTGTGCACTCGTTATGTCACATTTATTTAGACCCTATATTTATTATACGAGTTAATGTTCACATATAAGTTAATCCACAGTTTCTTTAATCCTTATAACCTATTGAAGCAAAACACAAATAAACCCCGTCTCTAAAGAATAGCGTCAGGAATACAGTGGATATAAATTACTAAAATTTTAATTAATTTAATTGGATTTGGGAGTGAATTACAAGTTTTTTTGTTAATGTTTTTCTATTTAATAATTGAAATGTTGTGTTTGGTATGGATAGCGATGACAGTGATTGTGGACTGTTAACAGTCGGCAGTTGGTATGCGATGACCGGCTATGGCTTCTCAATGCCTAAGAACTCCAAATATCTCGAGAGGTTCAACAAGAAAATGATTGAATACAGAGAGTCAGGTCTGTTATACGTCCAGAATATTCTTGTGCTGTGATGTGGTGTGGAATATATGTTAAATAATAATTGAATTTATTTTTAATAATGTTAATGAATATTAGATTAATTTAATAAATACTTTATTTTATGTTTTATTTTTAGTTCGTGTAATATATTTAATTAGTATAGATTTCGATGAGAGATATGTCTGGTTTTAGATAAAATTTAGTAAATTTTAAATATTTTTAATAAATATAGAAACACTTAACACACAAATTATTAATTTTATAATTACTTTGAGATTCAGTTGGGTATAGAATTTGATTGACAATTTATTAATGTGTTTATATATAATCTCATAAAAAATAAAAAATTTATTTGAGTGTTAGTAAACATGTTCTCATTTATTAATACACTATTAGATAAGATCATCGCTTATATGATTTCACTTTATGTTTTTTGTTGCCTAAAAAATATTATAAATGGAGTGGAAATCTATATA